CAAGAGACAAAACAAAAATCAGATCTCGGTTTAGAAGTGGCTTCGCAAGACATTATTTTAATAGGTAGATCTGGAAAAGAAATGAGTTGGCAGCCTTAGAGAGGAAGGATTTTATCAAGGTGTTGTGGATAGTGAGTGAACTACATTTGAACCTCATCAAGAGAATCAAGTAGGGAGCTATGTTGGCTGCAAAGGAGCATTCCTAGCTGAAAGGTAGCGAAAACACCCGAAGAAGGCTCCACCGCCGAAATGTAGTTTCTTTTCTTTACCTTTCAGCATGGAATGCACCTTCACCTGTTCACGAAAATGTTAAGTAAAAACTCAGATTCGGTCTTACACATTGTATCTAACAATATTCTGATTCTTAAATTAAATTCTTTACATTTAAGCAGCACAAAAGTCTTTCATGGAAAGAATACCACATGTTCTTTTGGAATGTGAAGTATGCAGTATTTGTAGCTTCCAAACAGACAGTTACCAGCGGAGAGGGAAGAGTTTGTTTGAAATAGGAGCGCTTGACACCTGTTTTCCATTATGCATTCTGAAGGGGGAAATAACTTGAAACACATCAAAACAGCTGAAGGTAATGAGGTAATGGTTTGACCCTGTATAGGGCGTTCACAGTCAGGAGCTGGACAGTTTCAAACCCGGCAAGATGTTATAGCAGACAAAATGTGGGGTCTAGTCACTACATACTAGTATGGCTCAAAACTTGGGACTTCACTTAAAACCCATTGTTCAGAGCTCATTCTGATGTGAGTATACCACCGGGACAGCATATGTCCTCATGCTGAATGTGTAACAATAACTTGAATGTGAAGAATCACGCCCCAGATTTCCAATTCGCTAGACTTCAGGCCTATTGAACATCTGTGGGATGATCTGGGCTGACGTTTGGAATATAAAACACAGAGATCTGGGAACAGATGCATATTCTTCACATGCATTTTGCAAAGAATGGGAAAGGACCCCACAAGCCAGCATGTACTGCCTGGTGCAATGCAATGCATCACCGATGTGCATCGTTTGTATTGCTCCCAGCAGAAGGTGAACTCACTGCTGTCCTGTGACATTCACAGTAGACAACCTGTTGGTGACAAATGTGCTCAGCGTAATGAATTTATCTGTGTAATACCATTTCAATAAAATGTAGAAGTATAATGAAAATGACCCTTGAAAACTATGTGAGTTTGTTATAAATGATGTTCTTTGTAGCACACCACTGTATTTTAGCTGTACCATTGCATTGTAAGTGCTGTCTCGCAATGCACATGTTCTAAAGATGCCAGTGGGTTTTTAGCTATGAGTAGTCACACATGGGCAAAATTGGATTTGAATAGGAATTTCTTATTAGAACCTCCTTCTCCCTCCATTTCTGTGTTCATTGTATCCCCGCAACACTGTGTATCACACAGTTCTCATTTCTAGTTGTAGTGGTGCAGTGCATGATATCCATGAGTAAAGTGGGTGAACTAGGAAGCCAGATAAAGTTCCGTACTTCCTCCCTGTTCAGCTGGAGAATGCGAAGGTCTCCTCTGACATGAATGACAAGGCTGTGAGCACGGCGCGTGAGGAGCTGCAGGAGGCGCACATGAGGATTGAGAGCCTGGGATACCAGCTGACTGCCCTGCAGAAACAGGTAGGATTCACGTGTATCGCGTCACGTGTTAATTTCATTCGGCAGTCGACATTTTAATAGGTTTCTGTCTGTTGGAAATGATATCTTGTTGGCATTGGATATTTGCGAATTTCATCAAGAATATTGAGAAGCTTTTAAAGAAAAATTAACCAAATTCAGTTGTAATGGGCAGCGTTAAAGGGAGCTGGATATTCTCCTCTTTATTATACCACGTCAGAACTAGGACTTGGCTACAGTGCCGACCCCAAAGTAGTAAAAAAAAAAAATTCAAACGAATCTTATATTCATTTTAATCTCTGTTTAAAAAAATACTGGTTTAATGACGTCACCCACAGTTTAAGCTTAAAGTTTTAAAATTCGTTTTTCAAAGTAACACGTGACTCCTGATGCTGCCATTGCTGTCTACATGGTAGCTCTGCGGATGTGCTGTGTGTGTCGACCCAGGCTTGTGCTTGTATAGACCTGAGCCCCGCTCTGTACTGCTCTCCCTGCAGGCCAGTGCGGCGGAAGAACGCATCCGTGAGCTGGAAGACTTGCTGGCCAGCGACCGGGACAAGTACCGCCGGCAGCTGGACGCCAAGGAGCGGGAGATGGCGGAAATGAGGGACCAGATGCAGCAGCAGCTGAACGAGTACCAGGAGCTGCTGGACGTCAAGCTGGCGCTGGACATGGAGATCAGCGCCTACAACAAGCTGCTGGAGGGGGAGGAGAGCAGGTGTGGGGCTCTGCAGTCTCGACTGTAACACAAGCAGGAGCTCGACTCCCAGACTATAATCCTTACACATATATAGCACTTTTCTGGAAACTCCACTCAATGTGCAGCACCACCTTGGATGATGTGACAGCAGCCAGAGTACACCAGTACTCTCACCACACTATCAGCTACAAGGGGGGAGGAGAACAGAGTAATGAAGCCATTTCATAGATGGGGATTATGAGGAGGTCATGATAAGTAAAGGCCAGGGGGAAATTTGACCAGGACACCAGGGTCTATATTCCCATTTTATTTGAAAAAATGCCCTGGGATTTTTAATATCGGGACTTCGGTTTTACGTCTCGTCCCCTCGTTTACAGTATAACATCCCCAGCACTATACTGTGGTATCAGGACCCGCGCAGACCGCACGATGAGCTCTCCTTACTGGCCCCACTAATACCTCTTCCAGCAGGAACCTTAGCTTTCCCAGGAGTCACCCATCCAGGTACAGGGCAGACTCACACCTGCTGAGCTTCAGTGGCCTGACAGCTGTGAGTTGCAGTGATATATAGCTGATGGCTCTAAAGCATTGTGCTTCTATTTTACAAGATGCTGGGGAGACCACCTTGATCTTTTTTTAGATTTGTCCCATTAATATTTTGGAAAATTAGGAGCAGCTTTTGTTGTGGTGCAAAAAAAAAAGGCTTCATTACCCCTCTCATACATCTCACAACTTGCTAGATCTCATTCCAGCTAAAAATATAATCCCCTCTTTTATGGTCTTTAAGTGGGGATGACTTATGCATGAAGTTGAATCTCACGTCTGGAGAGTAGTAAGGCTTCATATCCGAGTAATGGGATTGGTTTAGCACCTTGCAGGAAGATCTCGATGCCGAGCCTTGTCAGTACTGGGGTAGGAGACCTAAGGAAATATCAGGTTGTGGGTGTAAGTGGTGGAGTTGGACACACGGGAGTTGACTTTCCCTTTAGACATGTTATATTGAAGCCCTAGGTAAGAACCTGAAATAATAACCCAAGGTGGGGAGTGATGCTCTGCCCACACCCTTCCATAGATGTGAGATCCTGTGGCAAAGCTGAACAGTTTTGAAAAAAGTCCAAGCTGTACCTGGGCTAGACAAGCCAGCTTCTGATCTGGAAGGGTTGTAAAGTTCAAAACAAAAGCAAGTGCCTGCAGTAAAACAATTGACAGGGCAGCAAATCCCAGCTGGATCACATAAGCTACATTTAATTGAAAGGGGTGCACTGAAACAAAACCATTTTTCTTCGTTTTCTAGTCTTATTTCTACTAAAGACTATTGACACCAAAATGCTGTGTATTAAAGTTTGCATCTCTTGTGTTGGGGGGGGGGAGTGAAATCTTGAGTGTAATTCTATTTTAAATCAATTTCTGAATGTATACTTTTGCATTGAAATGAATGTATGAGGAATTGTACTGTATAGTATTGTATCAAGATGGGTACAGAAACCATCCCCTGGTTTTCCCTTGAGTTTATTTTCAGAAGTGAAGGATGGCGGGCAGTCGGAAGAATAGATGCGCTGCGCCGCCCCATGGGAGAGGGCGAGGTGCTGACCCTGTCGCTCCCCCTTGCTCCGCAGGCTCAAGCTATCCCCCAGCCCCTCCTCCCGGGTGACCGTGTCCCGCGTCACCTCCAGCAGCCTGGCCAGCGCAAGCGTGACCCGCTCGTCCCGCGCCAAGAGGAAGCGCGTGGAGATGGAGGAGTCCGGCACCGTCGGCCAGCCCAGGTTCCAGATCAGCCAGCAGGCGGAGACCACCGGGAGCATCACCATCGAGGAGATCGACCTGGAGGGCAAGTCCGTGACCCTGAAGAACAACGCGGAGAAGGTGAGGTGCAGCGTCGCCGCAGTGCCTGCTGAACACAAACTGGGGGCTATAGCACAGGGGGTGACCAGCCTCTGGTCTTGGAGAGCCTCTGGTCCTGTTGGCCGCCCTTCAATTGACAATCCATGAAGAACTTAAAACGTGAGTGTTGATCAAATTAGGCCATGAACAGCTGCCTTCCTTGAGGCATCTCTGGTGTTAATCACTACAAACGCAGATGCTCTGTAAATTGCTTACTTGCCCAGATCGCCTGCTAGTCGAAAATGAAAGTGGTCCTAGCATTTAGACATCAATAATTTAAGAGTGACCCATGAAGGTTTGGGATCGGGGTTTGCCACCCCTGCTGAAGTGCACTCTAGAGTCCAGAAGTCTTTCATTTTTTTTAATAAACTACACCAGCTGTGAGTTTTGTTAAAGTCTACTTTAAGACAAAGTCTGCTTTTTTCGGAACTCAAAAGTGAAATTGGTCATCTTGTTCCCCAAAGATTGTTGCTTTCCAGTTTTAGTAAAGGTTTTTACTTCTGCTTGTGTAGGATCAGTCTCTTGGCAACTGGAGACTGAAGAGACGGATCGGTGATGGAGATGAAATTGCCTACAAGTTCACCCCGAAGTATCTCCTTAAAGCTGGACAGACAGTCACGGTAAGCACGTGTAAATCTAAATACAAAATCACAAAGGTTTTTTAAAAAGTAGCAAGTGGTGTCATTACTCCTTTATGAAATACTAGAAAGATTAACTTTTAAAGTTGAAGAAGAGTTTGGGTACAATACCACTGTAGTAGCTGCTAGTGGCTCAACTTCAGTTTTCTGCTCTAAGTGCCAGTTGTTATAAGGTAATGAAGGGAACTCTATTTACCATTATTTGGCTATTGCCACTTCTCTGTCCTTGCCTAAATTTGACTCTGAGAATTAGAACAGCTGTCTAGAAAGCAAGCTGCTGTGTTTGGTGATTTTAAATGAGGAGCTTGGCTCTTCTCTTGCCTAGGTCTGGAGTGCCGATGCTGGGGTCACGCACGCCCCTCCCTCCAACCTGCTGTGGAAAACCCAGAGCTCCTGGGGCACTGGAGATGACATCGTGACCTTCCTCGTCAACTCGGATGGAGAGGTAGACTTCCCTTCAGCTCTCAACCTGGCCCGGGTGGGAAGGGAGAGTCTCATTATTAACAAGCTCTGTTTAATTGTTTGGTTAACACAGTGAGTTGGTCTGATCTGGTCTTTATTTGTATCAACGGACCAGCAAATGCAGCCCTGCCATCTGGACTGTAATTACCTGCCAGTGTAATGATGGGATACTGCGCTGTAAGAGGCACCATCTTTTGGATAAGATGTTAAATCAAGGCCCTAATGACTTGATCATTAAAGATCCCACAGCTCCTTTCGTAAGAGTATAGAAGTGTGTTTACTTTGCTGTCCTGGCTGAATTCCTTTTTTGGGTGTGCATGATCTAGCCAATTAAAGTTCCCATTTAATTAAGTGAGTGAAACAAGTTCCCAGCCTGATCAGCTGTGGATTGGGGGTTGCTGGAGCCTAACAGCTGTCGCACATCAGTCCGGTGGGTGAAATGGATCGCCTCCTATGCATCGAGAGCTTTGAGATCCTCCCTGATGATCTTTAAAGGAGACCTGCATGCTTTCTGACTTTATTCTCTTGTCAGACCCCATGACTACAACTTCCTTTCCCTCTCTAGGAAGTAGCCAAGAGGACAGTAACGAAATCCCTAGTAGAGGTGGAGGAAGAGGAAGATGCAGATTTTGGGGAAGAGGATCTTTTCCACCAGCAGGTTGGTTTTTGTTCATAGAGGGTCATTCTACATACAGTAGCTAGGAGAGGAAGATCTTAACTCACATTATGAATCATCTTTGACAATTCTCCTCTCTGTTTTTTTCCACATTTCTGAATACGTACAGGATGCTTGTATGAAATGCAAAAACATGCGATTGGCATATTACTAATGTGAATGATATTTTCTTGGAGTGTATTGCGTTATCGTCTACTTTGAAGCAGTTATTCACAATAAACTGATAAACAACATGTTTTAAACAAGATTTAGACCTAGATCGTAAACCTTTAGAAGTATGCATTCATTGTCTTAGAGTTGATGAACTGAATGTCTGGTTTTGATGTCTTTGAAAGATGTGTTAATTTTGTTCTTATTGTTTCCAGGGAGACCCAAAGGCAGCATCCAGAGAGTGTTTGATTATGTAAAAAGGAACACCTGCTTTTTTTAAAATCCTACTTTTTATTTTCTTCTGGAGCCACTTAAAATATTTTTGTACATTTCATTTTGTGTTCAATCCTTACATTCTGGGTACTTTTTAAAATTTTGTTCTGCTTTTTTAACCAAATGAAACTGCCCAGATGTTTTTAAAATTGATTTTATTTAACCCCCAGGTATCATGAACACTATTTTGCAGTGTATTTTTTTTGAAGGGTCGAAGCTTACCAAAATTAGCCTTCCTCGACAAAGCATGTTTGTGCAGTCGTTTAATACTAATTATAAAGAAACGCCTACAGCTTAGAGAGAGGAAGGTACAATTTCATGCCTTTTTTTAAATGAGAGTAGAAATAAAACTAAAGGGTGGAATTTTGTCAACCTTGGCTCTAGACAAGTGTGACACAGTTCCAAGCTGTTTCCCAGATTTGTGGCTCTGGCATCTGTGGCGCCTTATTTGAAACCTACAGGAGGCCCAGAGACGGTGGTGTTTAAACAGTACAGTTGCACCTGAGGCCTGTGCTTGGGGACACTCCTGTATTAAGTTGGATACTTTGCATTTTTGCTCATGGTGAACAGCTGTTGGCCTGCACTGTGAACAAACATGTTATCATTGGGAGTTGAATATATTGCTATCTTGGCTGTTATTGGAGCCACTAGCAGGTTTAGGATTGAATAAAAAAATCCCCTTTCTGTCTGGCTTCTTCCCTGTCCTAAGCTGTAGTCTCCCCTGGGGCAGTATGAAGACCATGAAGGTTTAATAAGTTTTAAACGGTGGCTTATGGATGTTATCTTTGATTTTTAACTGAAAGTTATATAGATGTTTTTACTGACAGCTGGTACATAGAAGCTGTGTGTAGTGGCGTAGTAGGCTGGCTTTGCTGATGGAATAAACAGGGTGGAAAATGAAAGGGTTTGAGCAGGGGAGGTAAATGAGATCAAACAGCCATGCTGTTTGAATTGGGGGGGGGGGGATTGTAGAACTTTGCAAGAGACATAGGTAGATGCTGGAATTCCAAGCGGGCAACATTCTTGTCATTTATGAACTTGCCAAAGATTTGAAAAATGTGTGCTGTCCTCACACAGAATAAGAAATGTAGTACTTATGTGTGGCTTAAAAGTGGTTGGCAAAGCTAAAAAAAGAGTATGTGCGAAACACAGTATATTCAACCAATGTGGGCTTGAAAGTTGCCCGCTGTAGTATGATGTAAAAGGTGAGGTGTGGCTGTATTTGTTTCCAGTTTCAATGGAAAATCTGCGGTCCCCATTTCACACACTCCAGAAAGGGTTGGCTCATTGATCGTTTCCACCCTGTTTACACTAATGCTATAGAGTATTCAGTTATTATAATCAGGTCATAAGTATGTATCCTTGTATATGTAAAATTCAGTTTCTCAGACAGACTGATTGCACAAATCAATTTTGAAAAAAGAACCACAGTAGAAATTTTGGCTTCTGAATTTGTAAGCGACCTGCTTAATAATCCAATTTTATTTCTTTTTGCAAATTAACTTGACACTGAATGTATAACTGTGCCTCAGAATTATTGGCTAAACCCTTATGAAGGGTTATCTTCTCTGTACCTTACCATAAATATTTAAGGTATCTGACCTACAGAAATTTTACAAATTGTTTTTGTATATTCTATCTTAAGAAGCTGCAGAGAAATGAACTCAGTTACCAAGATATTGTGGGGTCTTAAGTGATTTTGTAGCCTGTTTCAATTGTAGACGAATGTAGAGAGACTTGGAATTGAAAATTGAATTCGCATTTTCAGTAGCCTGAATAATTTAATTATACGGGTGTACAACTAATGGCTGCTATTTAAGGGGTCTCAGATATTCTCCATTGGAGCTGAGGTCTCTTGCTTTTAAAGTTTCTCAGGATTTGGAAATGTTTAACATGTGGCCAGGGTTTCAGTGTAGCAATATTCTGTAGTAAACAGTATGATTAACTTAGCCATATTAATGCATTTGGGTGTTTTGAGTTTTTTTCTAATTTTATATCAAAATTAAAGAGATAAAATTGGATTAGTTCTTATTTCCATGCAGGTAACTGATTTAATTGAAAGCTTCTTTCTATAAAACGTTGGATATAACACTGCTATCTCACATTTTTGTAGTACAGATATTGGCCTGGGAAACAGAATTTTTGTCTTCAGATGCAGTGCTTTGTATTTTAATTTTGAATTAGAAGAATGTTATTTGAAAAAAAAGTTTACATGCAAGTGTGGGGGATTTTAATCATAAACAGTTCTCTTCAAGGTGGTAAAGTTTAGGTCAAAAACAGCAGTTACAGTGTGTAGCAGGATTAATAAAATATTTATCCTATTTCTGAACAGTAAGGCACCAGGTGACGTTGCAAAAGTTTGAAAAAAACAATTGGGTTAGTTGGCGATATGTACTGTTGTTTTTCCACAGTGCACTCTGGATGAACAATATTGATTCATAGATGGATATTAAGGCTGAACATTGTGTTGCAAGGCTGTGCAGTTCTGGTACTGTAGGTATTACATTTTCCAATTAACAGGTGGTTAAGACCTTAAATAGATTATTTGTTTTCTTATACAGCTGTTTATTTGAAAGTTATGAGGAACAGAGTGAAGCTTACCTTTGATCTCTGATCAGCAGGTTCAGGGTTATAGCCCAGCAAGAGACATTTTCCAGTCAACTTCAGCACTTTTACTGTACCTGTAGACTTTTTCCTGGAATATTAGAATCATGCCTTTTCCACTGGTGTGCAACATTTTGTATCTCTCAAAGAGATGTTGTAACAGCCATTTTTCTAAACAATTCTCCTGGTTCATTTTTGGTTTTATATTGACCTGCTTTTTGTTTACAACTGACAACCAGGTTATTGTGAATAATGTGAAAACTGAGACTACTGTCATCACAGCATTCAAAATCAAGTTATTAAAACAAGCTGTCCAAAATGGTTAATCCATTGTTTCATGCACTGAATTTCTATACTGCCAGAGCTCTGTGTTTTCAGGTTTTGACAAATGTGAGTGAGCTGGACAAGATTAGGTGACCTTGTCTTAACAGTTCTTTAAAAGTACGTCAGCTGTTTTATAGCTAATTCATGTGAAAGAACGTAAATCACAGCTTTAGCAGTTAAAACAGGAATTTTGTTTTCAAGCGCTGTCTTGTCAAAGAAGCGTTAGCCTTATCCTACTGTAATGTTTTTCGTTTTTCAGGTGACACAATACTATGAAATGCACAGGACTGTGCAGTAATGTGAACTCGGCTATAACTTCAGCAAAGTTTGAAACCATTTTTTAAAATGTTTTGATTTGAAGCGTACATTTAAACCTAAACTTTATCATTATTTTGAGAGGACTAAGGGGGTTGGGGCTATTGGGAGGGTGCATGCCAAAAGTTCTTTTTTTTTTCCTTTTCTTTTCTTTCCATTTGTAAAATACATATATGACTGAATGAAAACTTTTGTACAACTCAATACAATAAATGTTTTGCATATTAGGCATGTGTTAACCTGTTTTGGTACAGCTTTGTGACTGAATTCACGGGCTAAAATGTAGGGATCTGTACACCATTCACTACATATGAACTTAATATGGGTGGTAAAATAATTTAGCAGCTACCCCTGTGCTTTCATGTTTCCTGTACTTAGTTGCTTTTATGCATTAATGAAAAGAGCCCACAGCAAAGACTGATATCAAGAATTCACAACCTGAAGAGAGAAGGTTGGACCACAAAAAAGTTCACAGGTGAGAAAGTACTTCCTGATGCAACACATCCAAAATGTGTAGCAACAAAATGTTGATTAATGTATTTTGACTTGCAGTGAACTTTCAGTTAGACACATCCTAAACCCAGAGGTCTCAAACTTGTTGCCTGGAATATTTACTATATTGTTCCATCATATTCTCTGTTACATATTCATTTTTAGCTGCATAATCCTCTTCTCTGGTATTTTATGGGTAACCACCTTTAATTAAGGGAGTATCTTCCATGATCAATAAAACACCTTGAGACAAATCTTGTATACATCTACTGTAGGAAATAGCTTTTTAGAAATGTGTTACATTGATTACAGGGTTAGACCAAAAATCCAGAAGGGGAGTGAGTCCCTTTAAGCAGTTGATTTTGGATGATTTGCAGTATGATTGGGGACCTCATCATTAATACCATTGGTTTTTGATGAAGTAGGGACATTTGAAATCTCGTAAAACTTTGAATTTTTTGTACATTTTTGCACTTTGGATGAAAGAAACTTGAAATCATATGCCTTGGAGACCATGGCGTGAACTTTAAAAAAAAAAAAACATTGTCCGTTTGATGACATTTGTAATTAAGTACATAAGGAAAAACAAAACCTTTTGACCCGCAGAGGTTGGTGTTTGACACCATTTTGTTTTAAAGCAAAGGACACACAGCCTCAGTGGGAATTTTCTGAAAGTACTCATGCAACTTAACCCTCACAAACATGTAGGTGGTGGTTATTTCACCTGCAGCGAATTATTCAAAACCTTATGTCTAATTTTGTAAGAATATACATATATAGCTATTGCTCTGCAATGGACTGGCATCCTGTCCAGGGCGTACCCTGCCATGCACTGCTTGCTGGGATAGGCTCAGGCTTGCCCCCACGCCTGACCCTGAATTGGAAGGAGTGGTTAGAAAATGGGTGGTTGGGTTATATAGTCATTACTATGCAAATATTGCATAGTAAAATATAAAAGCTGACCTTGGGAACAGCTAAAAGGTGCAAAACATATGGGAAGAAACTGCCTTTCCAGCAGCAGCTCTTTGTCTTCAGGATTCTGTTCCAACTGGTGCTCATCGGTTTTTCAGTAGGGAAAGAAAAACACTTCTGCTTGATGTGCTTTTTGCTCATTTTAAATAGGAAAGGGAACATTTACAATTAAAAAATAAAAAAAAACCCTCTGTATCGATTTAATTTTTTTTTTTATGTCATAAATGCATTTTGCCCTTCATTGCTTTCTGGAAGCCGTGGAGAGATCAATGTGCTCTCAGTCTGGCACCCACTCCACCCAGGACTCTGAATAGAGTGATCCTCACTGCAATAAGCTGCTTAATGAAATGCATTTACTTGATTGAATCATCCGGTCAAATCACTGCAGTTCAATTAAAATGTTTGTTGTAATCCCTTTTGTAAACACAAGGTGCCAGCACATACCTACAGTTTGTTTCAGCTTGGCTTTGTAACATTGACCACAACATGAGCAAGCCTTCAGGGTGCACACTGTTTCAGGAACCGCTGTATCAGCTGGTTTTCATTCCAGCTGATTTCTGAATCCCTAGAGCTACTTACTGACTCTCACTGACCAGCTCCTTACTTCAGGCTTCTGATTAACTTTTTGCTGCAATCCAGGTTTTCAGAATTACAGTATCCAACAGCTTCCGAATGCAGTATTTTCAAGACTTGCCTCAACTTGCTTAACCTTTTTTCTATTTAGGCATTCAATCGATGAGGGTGGGAATGCATTGTAAACCCTCACAAAATAAGCAGTTTTTTCCTTCTGCAGAGGTCCAATTGGCTACATTTTGGGCAACACACCTAAAGGAGGGCAGCAGTGAAACTCACATATTGGTACAGGGTTGGTACCAATTACAAATCCCATTTGACTTTCTCAGAGTTGAAATTAAGCTTTAAAATATGTCCTGTGATTGACTTCACTGGAATGGTTCCACCAATACCAACGCCGGGGACCACTGCATCTGTTAAAGTTAGAGTGAAAAAATTAAATGGATCACGATGTTTTGAGAATTGGAAAATTATTACAAATGAAAAGCTTTTAATGCTTATTTGTTTGTAGTTAATGGATTGCCTTTTTTTTAACGATCTCCAACACTTTGCATAAGGTCTTGACTCCTGTTTTCAATCCTAAATGCAATTTCAGCTTTTGTCCTTGGGCCTTTATTTTACCCTTAGTCCTCCTAACTGATTTTGCAAATGTGTTTCAAGATTTTGAGTAATTGTATTAAATTCCCTCAGCCTCCTCTGTTCAAGACTAGAGAGATTTGGGTTCTTTAGCCTTTACCACATTGCTTCAAGGTGATGAAAGGGTCTTTTTCTTGAATATGAGTAGCAAAGGATGAAGCCAATTAAGGCTTTGAATATTTCCAATATACAATATCGCCATAGCTGCCTTTGTTTCCATTGTTGTTTATATCGGAGTATAAAGTGCGTAAAGAAAAGTTAACCAAAGCACTTCAGCGACATACAGATAACAAGTTGATAGCATCCACTTTAAATATACTTGCACTGGGTGTTTATCTTGATCTTTTTACCCCATGTCTTCGCATGAAAAGAAAATATTTCCTGCTTTTGTTTTGAAGTATTTCCGAGATCTGTCTTAAAGGTTACTCGACATCGCCACTTAAAAAAAAAACCCTCCATGAAATACTCTTTCCTGTGAAGACAGTTTGGCACAGAGACAATAGCTGGCAGGAAACCCCTGCATTTCATTAACCTCCTGTTTCACACCACTCCCTGGCAGGATGAACAGCCCAAAATGTCACCAGCAGACAATACCAGCCGAGATCACACGCTGCTGCTGGTTCAGACTTACTGGTGGGAATATCTGTCGTCGTCTGTCCGAAATTACTGCCGTGTTCTTTTGTTTTCCTTTCGCTTTACATCTCCCGATTGTGTGCAGGAAAAGGCTTTAGTTATCCCAAACCGCAGTGGGGAATCTCGGCTTTTTAGGGAAATTGGTCTCGTCCTCAGCGCACCCGCTCTCTAGATAGGTCAGTATTCTGTTATCGGTGTCTGCAAGAAGCATTTCAGTTGGTGATCCTTTTAAGTAATGCAGAGGTAATACCTTACTCTTCGTAACTGAAGAGCTTTCTTTCCTGTATGTCACCACAGTATATAATATCCTTACACTTCTATCGTGCTTTTCTGGACATCCCCCTCAAAGTGCTTCACAGGCATAGGGGACTCGCCTCCATCATCAATGCACTGCTCCCACCTGCATCATATCACACCCAGTTGTCAGGATTCCTTGTTTTGCATCCCACTGGCAGGTCCTTGGCCCCTTCCAGTGGCTGAGGAATTTCGGGAGAGCTGGTCTTTATGCTGAGAAAGCGGAGCTCCAAAATTGTCTCTAATCCCCCAGTACTAAACTGCTAAATATGAAGGTGATCCCAGGACACTATGCTTCATCTCCGAGGCAATGCCTTTCTATTCTGTAATAACTTACAAACGGACACCAGTTTAGCACATACACTTGGTTCATCTTATTCAAATATATTTATGGAAATAAGGGCAAATATATAAAGGAAGTTTGAAGCAAACAAGTTTCCATGCCTTCACAGGCTTGTATGAGTTCGAGAGAAGCTGACACATCGAACTGGTAAAGAACCAATAGAAACAATGAAAAGAATAGTTTCCATTACCTTTTGCAAGAAGACACTTCTAAAGAAAACTAACTTACAGTTCTAACTCGTTTAAATTACACTTCATTAGCAACTCCATTCTAGTTTTATCTTTTTTTGCAACATCATGGTAGCCCAAAAATATTTAGATTCACAGGTTTCCTAGGCTGCCCTGACTGTCAGGGGAGTTTATAGATGTTAAAAATAGGAGAGTCTTCAGATCATCTTACCTGGCACAGATAGACCTACAATGGTCAGAAAGACATTAGATGATTCTGAATATCACAGAATCCTCTTAACTTTTGTTCTCGTCTTGCCGAGTGATTTTGAGTGGGCTCGAATGCTGTAAACCAAGAGTGTCTTTACTTCTGAGTGAGGACTGTGTTTTTTTTTAAACCCTCAATTAGGTTTGCCGTGATTCTGCGTATTCTCCACCTAAAAGGAGGGAAAAAAATTCAAATCCGGCACAGGCGATGAAAAATATATTTCCACCAACCCCGCTCCCCACCACCCCTCCCACCTCCCTCTTCTTTAAAAACTCTCTTTTCCTGGAGCACAACATCTCCAGATCGGTCGCTGAAGTGGCTGTCAGGAGAGATAGTAAATTGCGCCTCTGGGCTGAGTGTGTGCGGTGTTGTGATAACCCCTGAAACGGTGACAGCAGGGAGGTCCAGGAAGACGTCACAGAGGGGAAGTGTGGACTGCCGTTCATAAACATCGCCGACCTGGGACGGCGAGTATTGTTTACTGACTCCAGTCTCTGGGCAGCAGCGAGTCTCACGGGTCCTGGGGGCAGGATATTGCATTGGCGAGAGAGGGGCTCTTGGTCACTTGAGCACACGCAGTTGCACAAGGTGGGGACAGACGCTCGACCTGTGGGACCTGTGGAAACCCGCAGGCAGCTGTTTCTGAGGAAACTGGTTGAATCAGCCCAGCAGTCATGTACGACAGCAGCTACTCCAGAGCGAAGTTCGGCCTGGAGGCTAAGGACATCCACAAGGCGAAGAGCAGGAGCTGCAGCTACTACATGAAGATCATCCTGTTCTTCTCCTCCCTGGTCCAGTCGCTCATCATCGTCGGGCTGGTGCTGTTCATGGTCTACGGCAAGCCACACAAGACCGCGGAGGAGCTGAGGGTGGAGGACCTGGAACACAACCTGGAGCGGCTCAGTGTGGACAACCTGGCACAGAAGAAGAGGAGCCACAACCTCACCCTGCAGCTGAACGTGAGCATGACCAACAACAATCACAAGGAGCTGGAGCTGAGAAGAGCTCGATACATAGCCAACAACAGCGCCATATCGATCAAGACTCTGAACCAGAGATTAGTAAGTTTTTACTAATTGTTTCAGCTTTTATCTTCTCTGTCATTTTGTTTGTACTTACTGTAAAGCCCCATTTTCTTCATATATTTCAGGATAACTTGTCCAAATACCTCTGAAAGACTTATAATAATGGGAATTCAAGATGCAGAATTTGGCAGACGTTTTTCAAAATTATTGCTTGATTAAATGCTTCCCATCAAGCAAGCATGATAAAACTGAATCTGCTTTGCAAGAACCTACTGTAAATGTGCAGAACAGGTTTTAGTTGGAGACTTCAACATGAACAATTGTCAGGCTTCAGCACAGAAACTGCAGCAAACCTTTGTCTGGTCAAAACTCAAAAATAACATTTCAGCATCTATAAAGCAGTGTGTTAGTTGCACATTAAATAACCTAAACAAAGGCCAAAGTGAATGTTTTCAGTGCTTTTGAATTCATGAGTGTATCCCCATTCAGCTGTAGCACTCAGTAGAGTCAGGTCTGGAACTAGAGTTTTGAAACAAGGAGAAATGTAAAACAAGCGACTACATTAAAAAACGCTGAGTCCCTTGTCGTGTGCTCTTGTTTACAGACGGCTTGTGAAGCTCAGAGAAAACTGGATACTCAGTCTATCTCTACTGCTCGGTGCCAACCACAGACCCCCTCTCTGGGTAGACCTTATGACGGTAATATAATTAAGATAATCTCTGCTTTACTAAGTTTAATGCTGAACTACCATGTTTTTAAATCCTCAGATAAGATAGACAAATCATTTAAAGACATGATGTCCTTCTAACGACATCAGAACATAAAAGCAGATACCAGGAGACCGAAGTGACTGATACAAATGTGTCTTAACTTTGTTCTGGCCAGCTGTCTACGGAAAAAGCGATTTATTTTTCTTTCACGATATGATGTGCGTGTTTTTTTTTTTCTTCCCAGCGGAGAAATACGCCCTCACAAGAGAGAGGGACTATCTGAAAAACACGCTCGACGTGGTGAAGACCAACTTCACCATCTCGATGCAGGCCGTCAAGAACGACCTGGACAGCACCAAGAAGGAGAAGGATCTTCTGCGCCAGGAGACCATCAACCTGCGGCGCGAGAAGACCGACATGCAGAAGGAGCTGGAGATGTTCAAGAAGAAGTGCAAGGAGGACTTTGTGCAGTCGCTGACGGGCATCCGCGAGGTGACCAACACCTTCCTGCAGAAGATCAACAGCCTGAACCCCCAGGCCCTCTCCTTCGCTCTCACCTGCGACAAGCAGCAGGAGCAGCTGAACCGGATCCGCTCCAACTGCTCCGGCCTGTCCAGGGACATCGAGAACAAGTTCCAGGCGTACCTGGACAGAGTCGGGGAGGACGTCTCCCGGATCCAGAGCGAGAGCAGCCGGTTGACCGCGGAAAACGCCCGGCTGCGCAGCGACTTCGGGGAGTGCAGTGCCAACCGCAGCGCCCTCCTCCTGGAGCACGGCAGGAGGGTCCAGGAGCTGCAGGCCAGGCACGACAACGAGGTGGAGCGCATGCTGAAGGAGCAGGCCCGCCTGAGGGGGGAAAGGGAGCTCCAGGGACAGACGCTCAAGCTGAAGGACCTGGAAATCGCCAGGCTGAACAACAAGGTGCAGAGCCTCAACGTCTCCCTGGCTGGCTGCATCCCCAGGGTAAGTGAGACAGGCGCTGGAGCACTGAAACTCTCCCGCACCAGTGTGCCGGTCCCCGGCCTTCGGCTGCCGGAAAACCCCAATCTCTTTCTACGCTGACCTCAGCTGGACAGTCTCTCTCCTACGTGAGTGCGCTCGGGCTTTTTAAAATTCTTGTCGACAGTCTCCCCACTTTGAAGTGAGGCGTCGGCCTCTTGAGACACTGCCGTTCTGAGCTCTAGGCAAGACAGGATCCTGAATCCCCAAGGATACATCCACACACCCATTCCCGGGTTTGCAATGCCAAACCTATCTTCCCAGCTGTAACAAAGTGTTGTAACGAGGCAAACAAGCAAACTAAAACATACCTTACTCACTAGAGAATAGACAAAGTGATGTCTGTTGACCAATTATCTCATCTGATTGTCAAGCCCTTTTTATGTCTGTCTTTGACAACGGTAATTTACATGCACAGCAACGTCTTATTCACATGACATCTTCTCACTGATGCAGTACATGGTTTATAGTGCGAGTGTCTTAATTAAAATGAGATCAGAGTTATTCCTTGCCTTAATCATCCTAAGCGTCATCAGTGTTGTGATTCGTGTTTTTGGTTTTAGTGTAGTGATTTTCAAACCGACATTTCATTTTTTTTAGACTGGAATTATGTAAGGCTTCAGTACGACGTGGAATATACACATTTTAAAAGCTACAGTATATATGATGCTCTATGTGTTGAGCGGCCACATCAGTAAAAATCAGGTTAACAATGCTAAGTCCGTTCAGGATGTTGACTCCCTTGGAACATCAAAGCAATCATATGAAGTTCTGAGATCATGAAGCCGCATGAATGTACTCTGGGCCAAGTGTCCCACTTATCCATCCATTTATAACCCCTTTTTCCAACACGGGATCTCCGGGGAAGCCGGAGTCTATCCCGGCCAGCAATGGGCACAAGGTGGGATACACCCTGGACAGGACACCAGTCCATCACAGGACACACACAGACACGAAGACATGCATATCTAGGGCCAGTTTTCCTAGAAACCAATTAACCTACCAACAAGTCTTTGGGAAGAAACTGGAGCACCCAGAGGAAACCCACATGAACACAGGGAGAATTCACAAACTCCATGCAGATAGCACCCCAGGTCTGGAATTGAATTTGTAGCCCCAGCGCTGCAAGGCAGCAATGCAAACCACTGTGCCACTGTACCCCCCCTGCAAATGTTCCTTTTTTGATGTCTAAAATTCGGTCTTTTGCTTTCTGCAATTCTAGATCGGTGTATCTTTTTCAAAGCAATAGCTCTCTCTTTCTTTTTTAGCCTCAGCCAGTACCTCCATATCCTGGTTATAAACTGCCTGATAACTCCTACCAGAAGTTCCAGGGTAAGCCATCGTCTGCTGTACTCTCGTCAGAGAGGTTATATGCACTAAGTGTGATTCTTGATTCCTAATATCATGCTCTCAGATCAGCTTGGTCCCTGATCCTGTCCTGGCTTTTCCCCCCAGTTGACCTTCAAAAGAATCTGCAGGAGCTGCAGCAGTTTGCAGACAAAGGCTCTAGGTGAGTAACGCACTTTAATTAACTCAGTTATGGAGAGAGGGCTGGGGGCGGGAGTATTTAGATTGAGCAGGCTGGTTGGGCTTTGAACTCTGATCGATAGCCCGATGATTGGATTTTACATTTTGACAAGAGCTGGCGCCATTCTGCATGAGAAGCTCAGCTTCACGACTGACAAGATGGAAAAGCTGGGATCTGTTGAGGCAGCTGAACAAAAGGAACTCATTTTTGGCAGGCCAGACTGCGAGAACCTGAACAGGAATTTAAATAGAAGATATACCATACCTTTCAGTGGCCGCTTATTTATAACAGACCCACGTGGCATCGTTCTTGAATTATCTGAAAGGGTTTCGAATGAGGGAGTCTTAGATCAGTGCCAATGCTGGCCTTGAATACCAGCCCACAGACTTGATTACTTTGCAGGAATAACAAGCCTAGAAACCATTCTGACAAGCTGGGACACTTCTCAGTGTCACAGAAGAACTTATGCTGCAGCAGAGGGATTACATCATCTTACATTAGAGAAGCATCACATTTAACTCTGTTAAATGCAAACCTTTTTTCAGAGCTGTTTGAATGAATCGCTCTCGAAGAGCTGCCAGCAATTCTAAATGCTTGGGTTGTTTCTTTGTTTTTTTTTCCCCAGTGTGTCTGGTTAAGGCTGTCATCTACCGACTGAAGAAAGAAAAGGACTCCAGTGTCGGGGCTTCAAGCTTTACGCATTTTTTTTTCTTTTAACCTTTTTATTCAAAGAAAAATAACGCAGAACGAGAATTCAGCATTTCTTGTTTGCACTGAGAGTCTTCTGTAAATACAAGCCTTTATCATCAGGGACATTCTGATTGCTGTGTGTCCAAGTCCACCACTCACACAACGTGGTCTTGGTCTCCACCTCCAAGCAGTTTCATCACTTTATGAACAATCTGGTGGAAAAGCTTTTGCTCTTTAACCATCCTGGAGCAGGGTGATCCAACAGTACTGAAAGACTGGTGCAGCAGCATGTCTCTTTAAAGCACCAGAACCCAAAGAGCTGGGAGAAATCTGTTAATCAGTCTAATCACGTCACTAACATCAGATTGACGCCATTAAGTGCAGAGTTGGGATGAAACCTGTAGATGCACCAGTCCTCCAGAACTGGAGTTAAACTACCCTGACCTGAGTTTACTCCATTGATGCCTCCCAATAATTATTAATCACTTACAGCTCAGTGCTGGAACTCGCAAAATAGGACAGTCACTAAAGACCCAGGAGTGACAAGTGATATCATCCCTCAAACAGCCCAACATCTTGTCTCCATCTGTGCTTCACGAGGGCTGGAAACCAAGTCAGTGGTGTGTAGGGGACTGAGCTGGGCTTGGGCAGTCTCACCCTGCTTTCCTAATGCACTCCAGCGTCCAGAAAAGTTTGTGTGATATTAACTAACACTCTAGAATTCAATGTAGAACTTTTTGGGCTTCAGTATTTGAAAGCTTATTCAAATGGTAAAAACTGCTTTCCTTAGAAAGTTAAAATAATGAAGGGGTACTGTTGTGTATGTTAGCATATATGTACATTTTCCCAATGTAAATTCCTGTTTTATAATAGTTTGTAATTGATTAAAACCTCTCCTCTATCACTAGTTTAATGAACAGTGAAAACAGCGATGTACTGTTATTTTACTTTTTGACATGATGTTTGACAACAAAATAGCTATTTGCACTAATTCATTCAATCATTATTCCTTTCTTCAAAATAGCTGGGTTTGGTTGCATTGTACCACTGCATTTAATGCGATGGGCTATAAAAACTGCTTATATCTAAATAAATGTCTAATTAAAAAAACAGATGTGGTTTATGTTAAAAATGTCTCGGGACAAAGAGGTCGGTCGACTTGGATTTCAGATTACACCACCCTAAGTTGCAGTTGGCGTTTCACATTTTCAACACAGTGTCCCGAGATTCCTGACAGAACTGGATAGGATTCTACACGTCTTGATTAAAATCTCCACACCTTTCTTCCACATCCCAGGATGTGTTTTAATTGTAACGCCTCCCGGCCTAAAAACCCAGCAAGCTCAAGCCTTCGTAAGCTCTGGTTTGTTAATATCTCAATCAGGACACAAATGTTTATGTTAACCAGCTGGCCTGTCGGGGAGCCAAGCGATAAGGATGGGAGGGAGGCCCTCAAACTCCGGTGTTTACAGAGGAAAACAATACTTCCCATGGCATTCCGAACACGGATGTCCCGCCACTTCAGCTGTGAACAAGCTGTCCATATACAATGCACAGACCCAGCTGGCGACAGTGGCTTCTTGACAATCGTTAAACACGCATCTGATTGCGTGCTTCTTGAAAATAGATGTGGCCACCTTACGAATTTCCTTTAGAATTGCGAGCGGAGGGGAAAAAACCCCTCCCCATCACACTGCCACCCACCCCCTCCTGAAATGCTAACTTCACTGTTTACTTCCTCCTCACCGTGTACCCTGGGAGCTTTTTCAGAGTTTGATTTAAGCGGGCTCAAAAGATACCTTCCTCAGGCCTGTTCCTTCGCTGGCTTACTTGTAGCCATCGGAAACCCAAGCGGTTTCCAAACCGCTTCTTCCAGTTCAGGGTCGCGGGGGGAGCTGGAGTCTATCCCAGCGTGCAATGGGCCCAAGGGAGGGTACACCCGAGGCTGGACGCCAGTCCATCACAGGGCAGACACAAACACACACATAAGGGCCAATCTTAACAGAAGCTTATTAACCTACCAATATCTCTTTGGACTGTGGGAGGACACCTGAGCACCTAGAGGAAACCTACACAAACATGGGTTGAACAAAGAGTACAAACTCCAAGCAGATAGCACCCCAGATCTAAAACTGAACCCAGAGCCTCAATGCTGCAAGACAGCAATGCTAACCACTATGCCACACTGCTGCCCTAAATCAGAAACCATCCTTGCCCAGGTTAATTATGTTCTTGGGATGCCTGTTGGCACCGACGTCCTCAGTTACTATAACCTTACCACTCAAACTGCTGTCGCTGTGAGTGATCACTATGGCAAGAAAGTGAGGGCGAACTTTTATCCCCTCCCAATGTCTAACCCAGAAAATTAAAGGACAATCAGAGTAGCAGTTACATTAACGGAGCGAGGAAACCGAAAGGGTCATGGGAGACCGGCGAAGAAGGAAGAGTGGCCCACAGGCTTCGTTTGCCAGAGAGGGCGGCCTGATTTGGGAATGTAAGGGATGGGATGCCTTGTGCGGTTCTTCCAGTGGATCCTTGCTGAGGGAAGAAAGAGGTAGGTGTATTTCATTACAGATTGCTTTCTCTCCCTTTTCTCCTCTTGGAAAAGAACACGAAGATCCCGACAAGGGGGAGGGAGACAAACTTCCCACACGGAGCTGGGCGCCTAGTGATGAACGTCTCAGTCAGGTGAAGGAGGCTCCTCTCCTGTTCTCAGGATATCCTTTGTTTAACAACGTGTTTTTTTCCACTGAGCGCTGCCCTCATCAACAGGTCTGGCAGCACCAAAGGGCCATTGCAAAACACAATCAGAAGAGCTCACACAGTCCCCACCACCCAGGCTTAGGGTTACTGCTTAAACCCACAACATGAATCATGCTTCGGAAATCAACCACCTCACCTAAAAGGGGTTTTATCTCAATATAGACCAAATTCAGCCATGTCCCCAGTTTCCTGCTTGCACATAAGTTTGATAACCCTCAAAACAATTGTGCCTTTTCAAACAACCTTCAAATTCAGATAAATCTCACTGCCTGAAGACTGAATACACAACCGCAAGATACGTGATGATTAATCTGACTGCTGGAACTGGATATTTCAGATGGTTTAGAAGATAAACAGTCTTTCTACAGAGGAAAAATACTGCACTAATCATGGAGATTTTGGACATTGCTATAAACAGTTTGGAGGAAAAACAGCAGCTGCTACTGGATCAGCCAATTAATTACCCAGAAGGTGAAAAACGCGCTGTGAACAGAGGAAAGCTGGAAACCACAGTGTTGAGAGGGGTGTTACGGGGCTCTGTAGAAGGGGCTGCTTTTACGATGGGGGTGGCAAGTGTGACACGTTCAAGGAAGCAGATACTTAATCAATGCCAGACACAGTGAAACAAAGACGCCTAAGGTCACCGTTACAAGTCTTCCTGCACATTCCTGAGTAAGATGCTCGGCGTAAAAAGCAGCTGATGCATTGTTTCTTTGTTTTGTGGCCAAAGTAGCTTGACACCAGGTGTTGATGATTTCTGGGATGCATGTTTATGTATAATTGCTCTTGTTTTGCAGCAAAGTAGCCAAGGCTTTAACGGGCAAACAGTTGTGGTATTTTTACTTTCATTTGATCCAATGCTTTCCAGCTTTTCTTCGGCTTGGAGAGACTGCTTACACACACGAGCTCATCAGACAGAGAGTCGGAGGTATATCTTTACACAAAGGGGTGTGGGAGACTGACAATTAACATGACAATTAACCCAGTCATGTTGCTGTAGCTGTCAGAAACCACACCGGACAGACCCGCCTCTCCTGTTCTGTCTAACACTTGTGTGGACAGGGGTTTGCCGTCAATAACAAGTCCCTGTGCCTGTAACTGACTGCAGTGACTCCCTCCTCCCCTCAGCCGCTGGCTGCTCCTGCCAAGCTGATCCACGAGGATTCCAAGCGTCTGGATGCCTATTTGCCGATGCAGAAGTCCCGGAAGATGACGTCGAGGATCTCCTCTGCTCCCACCCTGCCGGTGATCCTGCCCAGGCTGGTGAGGGCCAGACGCAGCCCCTCTGCCGCCAGTGCCAGGTCCCTCTCCCGGTACCAGCGGTACTGCGCCAGGCCCTGGCAGCACTGCTGCAGGTGAGAGCGATGCCGAGCCTGGGTCAAACTGGGGGCTCCTGCTAAAGGGTTTCCACACCTGCAGTACGCATAGAGCACAAGAGAGGGACCCATATTCCTGTGCTGTTCCACACAAAGGGAAAATTCAGCACTTCAACACAGATGGGGACATTCAGATGGAGTCATAAATTGAAACTGCAAGGTTCAGCAAGCTGTATTGCATTATCAGTCGTCTTTCCTTTCTATTTCTAGATCATTTCTCTTATGATGATCAGTTACAGTATACGCACACAATCTCAGTGTTGGATTTGCCATCTTATTCCTGAATAGAAGGCGTTCTGGGTTTCCGAAGGCTGTCACATTTACATAGAAAGGACGCTTGACTCACTGGTAACTGAGCTGTATTCAACAAAGACTCACATGGTTTCCACTTGCTCCTGCAGGACTCCCAGAAAGTCCCCCAGCCCGTCTCCGGTTCGGCAGGACAGCAGGCAGACGGGGGGCAGCCCCTCGGGCCGCGGGCTGAGGACCCCTCTGAGGCCGTCCACCTGCTCTCCCGTCAGCAGGTCAGTTTTGTTGAGGACCAGCAGGCAGCGTCCCAGGCCGGACCCCGGATCCTGGCCAGCGTTCAGCACATCCCTCAGGTAGCCGGTCAGGAAGCTGGGTGAGCTCCTGGTGTCCCGGGGCAGCTCGGTCACATCCAGCACAGCCAGTGTCAGGTCGGCCTGCTCCACCCTGAGTACAGGAACGCGCTCTTATTACCTCCTTCCTGCCTCGGGCAACAAACTAGGCCCCTTCTGTCTCTTTCCTCCTGCTCCGCTCGCACCGCTGGGCTGATTGCACTTCCTTCATCTCCCTCGGCAGCCTCGCCGGCCCCCGTGACAACATGGTAAAGCCATTAGAGATCAGCGCTTTCTCGAACTGCTGCGCTCTGGCGGGGCGGCTGTTGGCCAAACTGCTTCCTGGCTTTGCTGGACTCCATCCCCCAAAACGCCTTGTGTTCTCTCAAGGCGCAACCCATCTGGGACAAGGTCTGCGCTGCCATTAGACGCTGAAGGAAATAACATTCAGCTCATCCGCCCGGCTCCTCTCGACTGCCCGTCTTATGAGTCAAATTTCTTGGGCCCTCAGCTATAGTATTGCACACTTTTTGTCATGGGAACGCACTACCTGACCACTTATGAACGTTTCTCGAAGTCCATAAAACTGTTTTCAGACTGTGGATGTAGTCAACAGTTTGAGAACTTGATAGTCTGTGCAAAGCAGTGGGGTTTTACAATGAACGCTGAGGTGCTGGGCTTTGGCCCTGGTCTTTGAGCTGTAATGGGAGGATGACCACACACCGAACTGACCTACAGTAAGCCCTTGCCTGCTTCCACAGTTGAACAGCTCTGCGAGGGCGCCCGTCTCACCCCTATCTAGGGCATGTCTCACCTGTCTCACTCCTCCTTGGGGCACTTCCTCCTCTCACCCCCGCCTGGGGCCCATCTCACCCCTCTCACCTCTCCCTGGCTCGCCGGACCCCCTCTCTCTCCACACTGTCGGGCGTGTCCCTCAGGCCGGCCGTGTCGCTCAGTAAGATGGGGAAGCCCCCGATGTCCAGGGGGGTCTCCACAATGTCCCGGGTCGTCCCGGGGACCGGGGACACGATGGCCACTGGCCTCTGACCTGGGGCCACAGAAAGCAGGGGTGACATGCTGTACTCTCAGTACACGCAACAGATAGAAAAATCTCACCGGACACGACAATCAGATTAAACAGTTTGAGCAGAGTCCTGAAAAACAAACAAACACGCTTTTCAGGTCTCTGCTCATCTACATCTTGAAACTACAAGGCGTCCCCACATAGAAACTGCATACACCTGTCTCTCGATTTACAGACACCCGGTTTATGAATGTTTGCTATAACCACTTTCCCCACCTGTCCGTCGCAGTTATAAAAAGATTTTCACTGCAAAGAAGTTACATCCTTTGTAGCCAAACAGTAAATGACACCCTGACCTCCAACAACACAGATCACCAATGCGCCTGCATTAGAATTTTTACACTTTTTATTAAGTCTATTTAATTAACTACCGCACTAATGTAAATATGGTAATTATCATGAACAAGCAACAGTTCTTACTTTGATGATTCGGGGCTCTGTTAGGGTAAAAACAGGTAATGTGGGTGATGTTCTAGACCTCTGGAACAAATCAAAAGCTTTTACAAGTAATGGCAATTTTATTTTAGGTTTATGAATTGTCACTTTACAAACCATTTTTGAGAAATGAAATATGTTCAGAAATCTAGGGATGGGAGTTATGAAGTTAAATAAAAGTCTAATGGAAGTTCTTCTCCTTTGCTATGGGTGTAACATTATCTCAAGACCAGTTTCTCAGAACGTCTGAATGGCTGGTGCTGTAACACATGGACAGCACGGCACTCTATTGGCACAGATGTACAAATTACAGTGTTTGCTAAGATCTGAGTGGTTAGCCACAGAAGGCTGTAGGTCTTTCCATGTGGGAAAATGAATGAGACCTATATGTCTAATCACATCCAAAAGCTTTCCAGTTCTTGGCATCAAGAGACCTAATATACATCCAAATAAATTGTGCTGATCTGATGGCACCGAACAATAATTTTAATAATCCGCTTCTTAGTTTTCTTTGAAAAATTTAAAAATAATTCCAGTAGCTTGTTATGTATTTTCATTCTTTTGACTTTTTGAATTGTTTCTGTTTGATTCAACACAAAACACGGCATGTTCTGACAAATGGGAAAGGGTAAGCGATACTGTTCAACTGTTCAGCCCCTGGCACGTACCCTGATTGACCACTCGTTTCTGTACCAGAATCGAAGGCTGCCTCAGGGTCACCCTCTTTTCAGAGCAGGGTTGCAATGCTTCTGATAAGCATTTACATGTGCGGTCCAGGGCGTACCTCTCACATAGCAGAATAGGCTCTATTGTTTGTAGAAAACAAAAGGATCTAATCAAGTGACAAACAACAGCTCAGGGACTCCAGCCAAGGGACATTTACTGACTGTGTTCATTACAGCTAATAGATCTGCCAATCTTGGCTCACAGCACTGACTCCTGTATTGCTCAGGGGAGAATCGGGATGGTAGCCTAGCTTCTCCAATCTGCCAGCCCATCACAGCCACACGTTCCATCATGTGATATTAGCTCCGCAGTGCCTTACAGGAGAGCGAGCTCTGACTGGAGGGCTGGGGCGACTCGCAGTGACATCACGGAAAGCACGGCAGGCATGCAGGAAGTTGAAGTTGAGGCACCCTTGCCAGAGTCCAGAGAGATCCCTGGCGGAATGACCCCCAGTTCTAACCCCTGGAGAGACTCTGGCAGTTGAGAAAACCACATCTGACCACACTCGGCAGGTGGCAAGACACCAGACTACAGGCCTGGGCCATACAAGAATCCCTTTTACCCCAGTTCCTCCTGGAAAACCATAGGAAAGAGCCAAATTCACAAATAACCCCTATAAGTCCACCCCTATACCATTGCATAATGTACTATAGCATGTAGTATGAATGGTTAAAAGACATGTAACTCTTCCTTATATGATAATTAAAAGTTATAATTCATCGGCGTGAAGTTAAATTGATCACTAAAAGAAACAGTGATCACAACATGAAGCCTTTCTCTGCGTGCAGCCTGAACTTTTTCCTCTTTCCCTCTGTGGCTAGCACACCTGGCCCCCAAAAAAAC